ATTGTCCATGGTTATTTTAAATGGGCTTTTTTTTTAACCTCTTGGGGCAGGGTAATATATAAAAATGATGATTTATGTGGGTTTATTTTATAACCTCCCATTTTGTTCATTCTCTAGGATTCTCTAAGTATGTCATCATATCATCTGCAAAGGGTGATAGTTTTGTTTCTATTCTAATTCTTTCAATTTCTTTTTCTTCCCTTTTTGTTATAACTAACATTTCTAATATAATAGTTTGAATAATAGTGGTAATAATGGGCATCCTTTCTTCAGCCCTGATCTTACTGGGAAGGCTTCTTGTTCAGTCTCATTACAGATAATGCTTGCTGATGGTTTCAGATAGATACTACTTATCATTTTAAGAAAAGCTCTATTTATTCCTACAATCTCGTGTTTTTAAGTAGGAATGCATATTGTATTTTGTCAAAGGCTTTTTCTGCATCTAATGAGATAATCATACGATTTTTGTTGGTTTTGTTATTGATATGATCAATTACGTTGATAGTTTTCCTAATATTGAACCAGCTCTCCATCGTGATGTAAACCCCACCTGGTCATAGTGTATGATCTTTGCTGGAATCTCCTTCCTAGCATTTAATTTTTTTTTCCTTTTTTTGCACCAACATTCATCAGAGAAATAGGTTTATAGTTTTCTTTGTTTTAGCTCTTTCTGGTTTAGGTATTAGCACCATATTTGTGTCATAAAAGGAATCTGGTAGGACTCCATTTATTTTTCCAAATAGTTTATACAGAATTAGAATTAACTGTTCTTTAAATATTTGGTAGAATTAACTTGTGAATCTATCTGGCCCTCCAGATTTTTTCTTAGGAAGTTCATTCATGGCTTCTTCATTTCTTTTTCTAAGATGGAGTTATTTAGTACTCTACTTCCTCATCTGTTAATCTGGGCAATTTTTATTTTTACAAATATTCATCCATTTCACTTAGATTGTCAAATTTATTAGTATATAATTGGATAAAATAGCTCCTAATTATTACTTTAATTTCCTCTTCATTGGTGAATTCACATTTTCATATTTGATACTGGTAACTTGTTTTTTTTTTTTAAATCAAATTAACCAATGGTTTATCTATTTTATTGGCTATTTCATATAAGTTCAATGGTTTTCTTTCAACTTTGTTAATTTCTCCTTTGATATTTAGGATGTCCAATTTGGTGTTTAATTGTCGATTTTTAAATTGTTCTTTTTCTAGCTGTTGGTTTTTTTTAGGTGCATACACAATTCATCACTCTGTTTTTTCTCTATTTTATTGATATAAGAATTTAGAAATTTAAATTTTCCCTTAAATGCCGCTTTGGCTACATCCCATAAATTTTGGCATGTTGCCTCGTCATTCTCATGAATGAAATTATTGTTTCTATGATTTGTTTTTGACCCAGTAGTTCTTTCAGATTGTTATTTAGTTTCCAAATAATTTTTAATCTATCTTTCCACAGTCCTTTATTGAATGTATTTTTTTTTTTTTGGTGAGGCAATCGGGGTTAAGTGACGTGCCCAGAGTCACACAGCTAGTGAGTGTTATGTGTCTGAGACTGGATTTGAACTCAGATCTTCCTGACTCCAGGGCCGAAGCTCTATCCTGAATGTATTTTTTATTGTATTATGATCTGAAAAAAGATGCATTTAATATTTCTGCCTTTTTGCATTTGATCGTGAGCGAGAGGTTTTTTGCCCTAATATACGGTCAATTTTTGTGAAAAAGGTTTATTCCTTTCTATCCCCATTTAGTTTTCTCCAGAGATCATATTTAGCTTTTCAAAAATTTGATTCATCTTCTTAATTCTTGTTTACTTTTTGGTTAGACATATCTGCCTCTGAGAGGGGAATGCTGAGTTCCCTACTAAATAGTTTTACTGTCTATTTCCTCCTGTGACTCACTTAACTTTAAAAACTTGGATGCTATACTATTTGGTGCATGTATGTTTAGTATTGATATTACTTCATTGTCTATAGTACCTTTTAGCAAGATGTAGTTTCCTTCTTTATCTCTTTTAATTACATCTATTTTTGCTTTTGCTTTGTCTGAGATCAGGATTGCTACCCCAGCTTTTTTTTTTTTAATTTCAGCTGAAGCATAACAGATTCTGCTCCAGCCCCTTACCTTTACTCTATGTGTGTCTCTCTGCTTCAAATGTGTTTCTTGTAAACAACATATTTTAGGATTTTGGTTCTTAATTCACTCTGCTATTCATTTCCATTTTATGGGTGAGTTCATCCCATTCACATTCACAGTCTTTACTATGTATTTCCCTTCACTTTATTTTACCATTTGTCTCCTCTATCTCTCTCCCTTTCTCTTTCATCCTTCCTCCTTTCACCTGGCCCATCCTCACCAGTGTTCTGCTTATGACCACTGACTCCCCAAATTAGCCCTCCTTTCTATCAATTTCCCCCTCCCCTCCTACTTCCCCATATGGTATGATAAATTTCTATATACAAGTTTGTTATTCCCTTGTTGAGCCAATTCTGATAAGAGTAAAGTTCAAGCAATGCCCTCCCCTCCCCAATCTTTCCCTCCACTGTACTAGGTCTTTTGTGCCTCTTCATGTGAAACAATTTATCCCACTCTACTTTTCTCTTCTCTCTTCTTCCAGTGCAATCCTATTTCTCATCCCTTAGTTTTGTTTTCTTTGGAAAAAAAATAATGCCCTAATAATAAGAGGTCTTATAAATAAAGGTCTTAAGAGTTATAAGTATCATCTTCCCATGCAGGAATGTAAACAGTTTAAGCTCACTGAATCCTTTATGATTTCTCTTTCCCATTTACCTTTTTATGCTTCTCTTAAGTCTTGTATTTGGAAATCAAATTTCCTATTCAGCTATTTTTTTTTCCATTAGGATTGCCTGAAAAGTCCTTTATTTCATTGAACATTCACTTTTTCCACTAAAGGATTATACTCAAGTTTTGTTGGATAGGTGATTTTTGGTTGTAATCCTGGCTCCTTTGCCTTCTGGAATATCCTATTCCAAGCCCTCCAATTCTTTAACATGGAAACTCCTAAATCCTGTGTAATCCTGACTATGGCTCTATGATATTTGAATTGTTTCTTTCTGGCAGCCTGCATTATTTTCTCCTTGACCTAGGAGCTCTGGCTATAATATTCTTGGGAGTTTTCATTTAGATGACTTACAGATCCTTTCAATTTCTATTTTGCCTTCTGGTTCTAGGATATTGGGGCAGTTTTCACTTGATAATTTCTTGAAATATAGTGTCCAGGGGTTATCTGTTTATTTTTTTTTCCTATCATGGCTTCCAGGTATTCCAGTAATTCTTAAATTATCTCTCGTAGATGTATTTTACAGGTCAGCTGTTTTTCCAATGAGATGTTTCACATTTTCTTCTTTTGGTTTTTATCGTTTCTTGATTTCTTATGGAGTCATTAGATTCCACTTGCCCAACTCTAATTTTTAAGGAATTATTTTCTTCATTGAGCTTTTGTACCTCCTTTACCATTTGGCCAATTCTCTTTTTTAAGGAGCTGTTTTCTTCAGTGAATTTTTGTATCTCCTTTTGCATTTCATTTATCTTCTCAATTTTTTTTCTCCCTCCCTTAATTCAAATTTAAAAATCCTTTTTGAGCACTTCCAGTTCTTTTTGGTCCTGATATCAATTCACATTTTTATTTGAGGCTTCACATGCAGCTGTTTGGATATTGCTGTCCTCTTCTAAGTTTGCTTTGATCTTCCCTGCCATCATAGCAACTTTCTATGGTCAGGTTCTTTTCAATTTGCTCATCTTTTCAGCCTATTTTATGTTAAAGGTGGGCTCTTCTCCTGGGATAGCAGGGGCACCAGTCTAAGCTTCTTGTACTAGGTGCACAGGAACTCCGACTGGCCTGATGTGGCAGGGGCTTGCGGTCTTGCCGCAGCATATCAGGGTTTGCAGGGCCTCCTGCTGGTCTTCTGTGCCTAGATTGTGAGGCCTCACCACTAGCTTTCCAGGAAGTAGTCTACTGCTCGTTTGCGTGGACACTACCTGCACTGGATTATACTCCCCTTTTACTCAAGTGAGACAGATCTTTCCTGACAACCTAAGTTGTCTCAGGCTGAAAAACTGTTTCACCCCATCCTTTTGTTAGTACTTTTGCTCCACAATTTGTTTTGAGGGGTTATTTATAGTTGGCTGGAGGTGAATTTGAGAGGGTTCAGGTGAGTTCTTGTCTCCCTCCACTATCTTGGTTTGGCCTTCCAATAACACACTGTTAATGAAGCTGTCAATTGGTCCAACCATTTTAGAAAACAATTTGGTATTTGATCCTGAGATTCATTACTGGGTATATATTCTAACAAAATAAAAAACAAAAGAATATTCTTAGTGGTACTGTTCTGTAGTAGCAACCCAATCCTCTCTCTCCACCAAAACTGGAAACAAATTGCATGCCAACTAACTGAAGGAAGAATGAATTTTGCTAAGTAAAAAAACCCTGCAATATTATTATGCCTTAAAAAACAGTGAATCTGTGGAATTCAGAGAAACACTGGAAGGTTAATGAATTGATACATAGTCAAAGAAGCAGAACCAAAAGAATATATATAATGACTACAATAATATAAATAAAAAGATCAATAAGATGAAGCTGAATAATTACCATGACCACAAGATGAGGAAATAGCGCCTTCCTTTCCACAGAGAGGTCAAACAGTTATAGATTTAGAGCAAGAATGGAGTTAATTTAGGTAGAACACCCCAATCTTCAGCAACATCGGATCGATATCAATGTTTATAGAATCAATTTAAATGCAGTAGGGAAGGTTGCTACTTAAAAGAAAAACAATGCTGAATCCTTTTGTAAAATGAGCACATCTTTCCCCTCCCCCATGTAAATGTGTCCAGTAACTTCAGTTTTATATTTTCCTAAATCAAGCCTGCATAAAGTGAGATAAAATTGCAATCTTAAGATTTAACTTTCTAGGCATATGGGTATTTTCTATGACTCAAAAGTAAAAGGTAATATATATTGCAAATAACAGTTTTACCTGTTCAAATACTGAGCTTTCTTTTCCCACAACACAGATGTTCTCATTAATTTCATTTGAAGTTTTCATGCGCTTAACATTCTCTTTATTTCCTGAAAGTACCCTTTTCTTTGAGGTGCTGCCTTTGAGAGAGGAAAAAAAGATACAGGAAACAAAGATTAATGTTTCTCTATATGAAGCGACCAATTGGAATTGTCTATATATCAGACATTGAGTAACAAAGAAACCAATAGAAAAAAACCTAACAATCCCAAAACATTTAAAATTTGTAAAAAAAAAAATCCAAAAGAATGATTTAGGGAAAATGCTGATCCACAAATTTAATCTTTAAAGTTTAAGTATTACTGACATTAAACTGCCTCTATGATTTTGACTGCTGCTAATAGATCAACAACCACAAAATGAAAATTAAGTTAGTCACATAAACTAGGGACATTTAAGTACATATGAACTGAATTCGAAGCTATTTTTATTTGCCTAAGAAAGCACTACAAACTCTCGACAAGACATAGATAAATAAAATTTATTCCACATAAAGTGGAGCCTCCTATGAATTGTTTCCTTGCCATCTTGCTTAGGAATTCAAAATTTGTCCAAAGAAATTAATGGAATAAATATCTGGCCTGGTTGTTGCAATATATAATGTTCTTCTAAGTGTTCATCCACACTTACCTTGCTGTTGAACAAGAAGTGATTTTCTGGGAATAGATGTAATCAGGACATAATTAGATAAACACTATATTCTCTGCTCTCTAGCCTTACGAATAAAAAGTCTCCTACAACTGATATTTTTTAAAGGTTATAAAAATATGGGTGAGATGATGAGTAATAAGCTATCTTAAGGCAAAGTGCATCCTATTTGGTATTGCAGCTCTCCAACTGGCTAAGATACAGATGATGCTTAATAAATGTTTGATGAACTGAACAAATGCACCTCTTACTTTCTTGGGCCTTAAGGAAAGTGATTTCCTGCCCAAATGGTGTCTGACTGAATGATAGGGGTAGGGGTATGGGATGGATAAAGAAACAGGCATGGAAAAATGAATCAATAAAATTGTTTTAAAATGAAGATAAACAAAAATCCTCCTTAGATATAGCAGATATCACCATTTTTCTAATTTTTGAAACAGAAAACCTTAGAGCCATTATTTCTGTCTTTCACATTGCATATCCAGTTTAATGCATCACACTGTTACTTCTTACTCCAAAGATTCTCCTATCCTGTATCCTGCTGTCTCACTTTATTTGTTATGTCTTCTTATTACTAGATTCTTACTCTCTAGCACTACCCCCACATTTACTTGCTCAATACCTCAAAATATACTTACTCTTGAATACAAATATCTAGTTCCATGTAGAATTTTTTACAGAGTCTGAACCTATGATTTTGTCAGTGTAGGGAACTCCATACGTGTAAACTTTTTTCAACCCCCTCATTTTACAGACTGAGAGCCAGAGAGGTTAAATGTCATATGGTAATGACAGAGCCATGATTTGAACCCTAAGCACTCTGACCCCCAATCCAGTGTGCTTTCCAATATACTATCTTATCTCCTTTTATAGACTCGGAGAACTGCTTTGGGCAATGAAAAGTCAACTGACTTGCACATGGTCACAGACTCAATGTGTGTCAAAGGCACAAATTGAACACAGGTCTTTTTGACTCTACAATTTGCTTAAATTCACTTATTATGTTATATAGAATAAAATGCTTTTATTCTATTGACTTATGTTTTTTATATTAGTCTATATCAGGGTTAACTTAAATTACAAGTCTAAATGCAAGGGACTTCTCTATATATTGTAGATAGAAACACTTACTATTAGTGTCAAGTGACGAATGCCATGCTGAGACTGTACTTCCACGGTCTGAAGTACTTGAATGATCAGTTTGATTGTATGCTTGGGTCTTCAAAAAATCACTTGTATCCTTCCTGGCCTGAACTGATCTTTTCAAATCAGATGCCTTGTCAGCCAGAAGATGAGAATTTGAACTTTTAACTGAAATGGCTTCACTCTGCTGTGTAACATGTGATTCTGACTGTGAGGTCATTTCTAACTTGGAACCCACCTGGTTATTTTCTTTACCATTCTCAATACTGTTAAAAGCTTTTTCTACATGACTGCCTAATATATCATCTGACTTGTCAATTAAATCATTCAGTGAGCCAGATAAGCTACTATTTGGTTTTAGATTCAAATCAACCTTAGCTTGCTCAAATGAAAATCTTTTTTCATTAGTTTTGTGTTCAGAACCACATGAAGTTTGCTGTGAGTCACTTGAGTCTTGTACAGAAAGCTTCTTGCAAGAATCTTCTGTTTCAGCTGGCCTGTTTGCATCAATAACTCGTTCACTGACAAAGTTCATCTCTGAGTTGCTCTTTACTGTTTTTAGTGATTTTGCTAAATCTTGAGGAAATGTTTCATTTTCCTGAGGGAGTATTATTTTTCTCCTTGAGTCCAATAAGAAACACTTCATGTTAGAATTTTCATTTTTCCTATGCATGACATCAGTGCTTAGCTGCTGATTTCCACTATGTACATTATTCTTAGGTACTGCTTTCAGTGGCTCAGTATTTCCTGATTTATGCACTATATGTATTTGTTTCCGGCAACTTGTAGGTATAGTCTTTTTAGCTTTTAGTTTCTTCTGTGCAGGTGGATCTGGACTTGCCATTTTTCATCTCCTAAAATTTAAAACATCGTTTTTAAATATTTGATTCCTAAAGACTTCTAGCTCCTCCACAGTACCCACTCAATCCATTCAGCTCCCAGTCACCCATTGCTCTTTCCATCTTTGTACCTTTCTTCACAAAGATGAGTAGCATTTGACATTTATCTGATTGGTCACTGTGCCATCTCCACCCATTTCAGAGACAGTAAAGAAAAGGTAAACTGTACTGGGCATATATATGATGAGGACAGAGAAGAAATGGAAAACATGGTTCCTGCACTCAAACACGAACACAGGCACAATTATGCCAATCAAGGTGTCAATGAATTTTGGTAAAGTTCTGTATGTTAAACTTATCCAGTTATGTCATAGTTCAGGAAATCTCTTAGCAGGCAACTCAAATCTCTGTACAATACCAACTACCTCCCAAATGGGAGCAAGAAAGCCAAGGATTTACAGAAGAAATAAAGTAGTAAAAAGGTCCACTAAATTTTTAGTGTATTTACAGACTCATAAAATAATCACTTAACATGTAATTTGGATCATTCCTTCAGGGCTGAAAATTAACAGAAAGACCAAAGAACACTATGCTCTATGATTATTTTAGAACTTTTTTCACTAATGGACCATTTTGATGGGGTAAAAGACATCATACAAATCACTCATTTTAATTCATCTATTTTGAAAAACAAGCCCAAACAATCTTAGAGTGTGTTCTTTCCTGAACTATTAATGCAACTAATCCATAGTCTTAAAAAACCAATTTTACCTGACTTATCCACACACATATTTTTATGACTTACATTTTGGAAATGCTTACTGGTAACCTAAGGAACACAATCTAGACATATTTCATCTGGTCTCACCTATCAAAAGACTTCCCTTTCTATTAAATAATAACCACATATTTCCACACATCAATATGTTAAGGACTTGTGATTCTGTTGGTATGGGAATGCTAGTTGTGGGAACTCCCTTCAAGAATTTCCTTCACCAATGCAAATTACAACTTATCTATAACAATCTTGTGTTCTTACAAATAATAAATGTCAAAGGCAAAATTTTAATCCAAGTTTTACTGACTCCAACTTCAGCACTCTTTTCACTATGTGATGATGATACCTCATGCATTTTTTCATACTGGTGTAATAACTGTAATAACATTAACAATGACTGACCTCTACAAAGAACTTTAAAGTTAACAAAACACCACATATATTATCCCATTTAAGCTTCATAGTATGAGGCAGATTCTTTAGGCATTATCCCCATTTTGTAGAGGGAGAAACAGGATGAAACAGGATATGTGACTAGCCTATGGTCACACAGCTAAGAAACATTAGAGGTGGGTACCTTCTCTCTGATCATCCTAAAGGGCTGTGAAATTGCTAGAAGTCTGCCATGAATTCACATTATCTATTTTTAACTGGGCTTTCACAATGAATATCCTTTTACTCCTCCTTGAATCTTTACCCTTCTCCCCTGAGGGGCTTGCACAGCTCCCTAAGCAATCAATGATGTCCTTTACATACACATACATACACATACACATACCACACACACACACACACACACACAACTGCCTTTGCCTTTTACTTCAAGAGGGCATTTATCTTGATCACCCTCATCACCCTTACCCTGTTATCTCAAAAGTGCTTTATATAATCACCTATCCTTTCCTTTATTCAGGTCTTTGAGGAAAAGTTGCCCTAACCTTCATGAACCCTGCTGCTTGTGCATTTGATCCTATCACCTCCCCATCTCCTCTAGGAACTTGTCCCACCAATCATTCTTTTCAACCTCAAGCTGACCGTATCAATTGGCTTCTTCCCTGCTGCTTACAAACATTCTAAAGTCTATCCCATCTTTTAATGGGACAAAAATACCCATTTTCATCTGATCCTACACTTAAATGATTAGGCTATTCTTCCTTTGCTGACACTCTGTCCAGACCACTGGGCCTCTGGAGACAGTGCTCCAAATTACTTCATCGACTCAACTTTGGAACCAACTTTGTAGGATTGTGCTATACTAATTGGCCAATCAGCCAATGTACACGTCCATGGTCTATAATATCTAGCTAGCCTTAGATCTTAAAGACTCATGTTTCTCTATCCATTTAACCATCTAACCTAGCTATACCTTTCCATTTCACACATCCTCCCCCAATGCCTACCCTACTTTCTCCCTCTTGCTCTGGGAAGTGAAATCAAATAAACACTGCCAGTGCTTCTAGAAAGGTCAACTGGACTCCTCTATGGCTCTATTCACCTCCTCAGTGATTCCCAAACCAAAAACACTCTTCCCTTGGCCTCTATTCTTTATATGTGGTTCCCTGCAACCCCCACTATAATGTAAACTCGTTGAGGGCAGGGACTGTCTTTCTTTTTTCTATCTCCAACACACAATAAGCACTTAACAGATTCATTCATTGTGAGCTCAACATGGGTAAACAGTGTGATATGGAACCTATAAAAGTTAACAGGTAACTACACATACCATCTTAAGATTACATTAACCAAAGCATAGAGCTCATAATGAGGGAACTAACAGTCCTGATTCTATTCTTCTGAGATCAGATCACATCTGGAATTTAATTGTGTAGAGTGTTCTGGACACTAAAATTCAGTAGGGTTTTGAATAGTGAAAGGTCTTGATATCATGAAATACGAGAATCAGTTGAAGTATATACATACTTTAACACCTAAGGATGTTTAGGTTGGAAAAAAAGGCTTAAAGGAGACATAATAGATATCTTCAAATATCTGGACGGCTGCCAAATGGAAGAATTAGATTTGATCTGCTTTGCTCAGGAGCACAAAACTACCAACAATTGGTGGATTAAAGCTATCCACAAGTCAAATGGATTATTTTGAGAGCTAGTGAGTTCTACTTTTCCCCAAGAGATCTTCAAGCAAAGTCTGGATGCCTATTTGTCAGAGATGATATAAAGGGAACTTCTACTGCTGCTGGACTAGATGGGTACTTCCAACTGGGATAGTGAAATTCACTGCTCTTTCCCCTTTTATACCACCAAAGTCTTAAAAAGAATCACCTGACTCCACAACCTTAACACCCACTCCCTTTTTAATCCCTTGAAATTTGGCTCCTGACAGAATTTCACTAAAACTGTTCTTTGCCAAATTACCAATACTCAAGAGATCTAAATGTAATGATCTTTTTTCAATCCTTATCTTCAATAACTTTCTACAGCATCTGACATTAGATGCCCTCTCCTCCTTTAAATTTTGTAACATAATGTTCCTGGTTCTTGTCTTAATTATATGAACACTCTCTTAGTCTTCTTCGCTGGATTATTCATCTCCTATTCTTTTAGCATGGGTGAGACCTTAGCATTCTCTCCTGGACCCTTTTCCCTTCTTTTCATTTGGCAGGTCTGACCCTGACCAGCACTGTCTGGCATCCCATGGACCTACTGTACTTCACCCTACCACCACCAGTCTCCCAAGTAAAGGAATAGACTCAGATTTTACCCATCTGTCTCTGCAAAACCCCCTTGAGACTACTGGCTTCTCTGCACATCTGATACTTGTTACTATCCTTATGGCTTCTCTCATATCTCTTCCTATCACTATCATAATTAATCAATGACTAATTAGTACCAAACTGCTGCTCCTCCTCCCTCATATCCTTTCATTTCCATCCTCCCTCAACCAAATGCCACTCATGCTCTATTCAATCCAATCATGTTTACGCCTTTCCCTTTTCCCATCTACATTAATTACAAATGACCTTGAATAAATTACTCTTTTAACAAGTTACTCTCATAAGGCTCAGTTTTCTTAACTATAAAATAAGGTGTTTCAAATAGATGATTTTTAAGGTTCCTTCTAATCCCAGATCTTCAGATACTCACATTACCTCTACTTGTGTATTTAACAGTTATGTCATCTCGTCAATTTTATCTCCACATCTCCTCTCAGTAACTACCTTAGGTCTTCATTACCTTTTGCCTAGAATATGAAAGTTTTCCTAATTGATCTCCTTACTTCCTCAGTACCTCTTCTCTCCAATCTATCTTCTACACATCTGCCCAAAGAGTCTTCCTAAGACAAAAGTCTGATCATGTCACTCCTTTCCCTTCAATGAAATCTTTCAATGGCTCCCTATGTTGCTAGGATAAAACGTATCTCTCAGCTTAGTGCCTAAACCTTCCATAATAAGGATCCTACCTACCACTCCATGCTTATTTCATATACTCCCATTCACAATCTCTATGTTCCAGTCAAAATGTATTACTATCGCTCTTCTAAATGTAACACCCTACCTCCCATCTCTATTTTGCAATTGTATAAGCTGTCCTCTATGCTTGGATCTCACTTCTCAAAATCATCACATGATATAAATATGTGTCTGATCCCCTTTGGTTAGATAACCCGTGGCCTATAGGCTGCTTATGGCCAGTCAAAAGATTTCGGAAGGCTTGCAAAAAATGTTGAGGAAGATATCCTCTATGAAACCCTTTGGTGCGTGGTCTGCAGGCCATAGGTTGTGCAGACCTGGGTTACACCAAGGTATGATATCAGGCACTATCTGTCATATAAAGCTTTCTTTGATTATCCCAGATTTCAGCATTCTCACTCTCAATTTACCTTGTATTAGTTACATTAGTACAATAATTACACTGTTATATCACCTTCTCAGTAGAATATAAACTCCCTGAAGGTAAGAATCATTTTTCTTTTGCTTTTGTATCCCTAATATCAAGCAATATGCCTTACACAGAGTGTCTTTCAACCAGTATTTTAAAAACACCTATTACATGGCAGGCACTAATGCTAAATGCTAGGGACATAAGGAAAAGCAAAAAACAGATCCTGCTCTCAAGTTCACAATCTAATGGGGGAAACAACTTGCAAAAACCTATGTATAAACAGGATAAATTGGGAATAATATCAGAGAGAAGGCATTAAGATTAAGAAGGACTGGGAAAGGGTTCTTGCAGAAGGTGAGACTTTAGCTGAGACTTGTAGGAAGCAAAGAGGCAAAGGT